TGCTTTGGCCCAGAGGGACCCAAACCCCCATAGAAAAAATTTTTTAAAAAAAAAAAAAAAAAAAAAAAAAAAGCATAAAGAGACCAGGGTGCTCTCCTTTTCAGTGCCACCAGGCTACTTTGTGATCCTGTGAACAAGCCATCTGGAGTCTCCACTTTTCTCAACTGTAAAACGAGGATATACTGTACACATTTCGTAGAGTCATGGTGAGAATAAAATCAGACAATGTGAATATTGTGCTTATACACGAAAACACCTTCCAAGCCTGTACACAGGAAAAATTGTGACACAAGAATTACCACATAACTGACTACAATAGCAGTAAAAAAGCCATAAAAAAGCTAGCTACTCTATCCTCTCTCTATCGAGTTCTACACAACACATAACGTTTTAAGTAGGTAGGGTTCAAAACTAGGTATCTCACACTATGACCTAAGACATTCAAAAAGTTCGACTTCACAGATTTGCTCTCATTTTGCTTGCATTTAGAAGACACTGTCACAAGAAGACAGAGAGGATGCCGTAAATATAAGGTCCTATAAATCATAACATAAATGTGCTAATCTAAATGAGACCTTACTCTCCTAAATCATGCCTGGTTGAAAACCATTGAAAAATCATGCACTACTACCATTTCACAAGTCTCATACAAAAGAATCATACTTCCACTGCCGTTTCTGACTAACTGGGGGCACTGTATCACTCTGACAAGCCACTTTAGAATCCCAGTTCTATGAAGAACTATCCATGTAATACTGGGTAAGCCACTTAACTTTTTAAAATCCACTTCCTCATTTACAGAATGGAAATTAATAAGGATACCTACCATTCTGATTACTATAATTGAATAAAATCACACAAAGCACTTTTGTACATAGCCAAACCAAAATAAGCACTATTAGTAACCTTTGTTCACTAAGTGTTTACTGTAAACTACAATAAATGCCTACTACATATCCACATGATCCACATATACACAAATGCTCTTAGTAATTACATGGAGCAAACATCATCTCTTTGTCTCAGATTTACTAATTTATGAATACACCTAGTAAATGATAGAGCACAACTTAAAAACCGAAGATAGTCTGGCTCCAAACACCTTTTCCTTCTACATACACAATATTTTAAAATAAACGGATTTCCTGTTAATGTTCTACTTTTCAGTATATGACTAAAATAATTTCTCAGAGGTAAACTCTTGGTCATCTCTTTGTGCCTAACTTTTGTTACCATTTTTAAATTTAAGTATTAGGCCCACCTCAGAGTCAAGTCAGTTAGCTAAGATGTGTCTTAAAGGGTTTTTTAAGCCCTTACATACATGGGACCAAACAAAGCTTGTTTGTTTCTGCTTGGTGTTAGAGAAATCTCAGTAATACAAAGCATAGTTTTTAAAGTAACATAAAAGCAGACATATTGACACATAGTAAACAAACATATATAGACAGGGTGATTTCTCAAGTTGTCTATTTGAAAGAGGAGGAGGTAAAACGATGTTGCTAAAACATGGGATTATCTAGTTACAAGCTCACCTGTGAGAGGAGCCCCATGAAAAGTCTGTGATCCCTGATATCCATCAGGCACAGGGTCTGGTCCATAATTCTCTGTGGGCCACCGATGAGGGGATGCTGAGTTACTGCTATTTAGTTTCAATTCCTGCATTTCTTTCTATTGGAAGAAAAAAAGGAAAATACTTTTAAACATTTAATTATATCACTAAGACAGTGTTATGTCAAACTTAGATATTTTGAATTTTAAATCATGATGATGGGCCCAGCTGGTGGTGTGCTCTTGAAGGCAACCGGATCCCACATGACTGACTGTACGGTTTGAGTCCCAGGATCAGCGGCTTTAAAAATACAATGGGCACGCATGCATGTGTGTCCAACATCTTGAGAGGAGAATGGAGAAGGGATAGCAGCATGGCCATTCCCTCGGGGAGTGTCTTCTTACTCTCGGTCTCCTCTGTCTCTCTTCTAAGCGTACATGTCCTCTAGCAAATAAAACAAAAAAAAAGTTAATAAAATTTTTAAATAAAACAAAACATGATTTATCTTTTTTTTTTTTTGAGAGGTTTTTGCTATAGAGCACGTGCACTTGCCAGTCAGACAGAGAGAGACATAGAGACAGAAAGCGAGAAATCACCCCTCAGGGGGGATGGCCACGCCGCAATCCCTTCTCCGTTCTCCTCTTGGGATCTTGGATACACATGCACACGCACCAGGCGTGAGTTTTAAGCCACCAGGTCTGGGATGCGAACTGCGGTCGACTACATGGGAGTCCAGCGACATAGCCATTAGACTAACTGCTGGTCCCACAAAACATGATATCTTTTAAGAAATCCTGTTTTTGAGACCAGCAGTTGGCGTAATGGCTATGTCGCTGGACTCCCACGTAGTCAACTGTGGCTCGAGCCCCAAAACTAGTGGCTTAAACTCATGCCGGGAACATGTGCAGGCGTGCCAAGATCCTGAGAGGGGAATAGAGGAGAAGGGATTGCACTGTGGCCATCCCCCCTGGGGGATGATTTCTTACTTTCTGTCTCTCTCTGTCTTTCTAGTAAGCATAGGTGCCCTATAGCAAAAACCTCTCCAAAAAAGGAAGAAGAAGATTGTTTTTCAATAAGATCTGGGTATCAGGTACTTATTTAAGAATATGATTCATAACTTATTAGAACTTATTTGTGGGCCCGGCAGGTGGTATGGTGGTTAAGGTGCTGGATTTCCACACAGCCAAAGTTGGTGGCTTTCCCTTCTACTCTCTCTCTCTGGTCAAATTAAAAAATAATAAATAAAATCACATAAATAATTCTTAAAAAAGAAACTTATTTGTTCCCATTTTTTTTTTGGTACCACCTGATTATTTTTTTGACTTTACCCTCAACAACTGAATACCTCCCTAAGTGATCATTTTCATCCCACCTTAATCTACCTAAAGTCCAGCCGAGACACTCCCTGCTCCCAAAACCAAGTGCCTGTACCTACAAGATAAACCTCCTTCTCGGACATTCATAACCCTCAAGTAGTAGTACCCTCAATATTCTTAAGCACCTCCTTTTCGCACTCGTTACTGGTCAGGGCTCCTAGACTGCCTGACACTCCAAACTGCCTCCTGACACCGGCTCCCTACTGACCCACGGGTGTTGTAACAAAGTACTACTGATTCTGAAAACAATGCTCAAATGCTCACCAGACAAAGAAAACAACTAATATTTGCTCAGAATATATTCTGTAATAATATGTTGTAGGCATTTTATTTACATTCTTAGTTAATTCTTATATGCAATATTAATTCATATCTTAAAATGAGAAAAGGAAATGAGAACAGGAAATGACAGAGCTAAAACGTAAACCAGAGCTGCCTTCACAAAGTGCTGTCTCAACACCACTGTCTGATTAGACGAGATGGAAGGTACATTGCATCCTAACGTCACTGTGTGTCTACCTACCTGCTCTCTGCTACTTCGTGGGCAATTATCTGGCAATGCCATACCCAACCACCAAAACTACAAAACGTCCCTTCACAAAGCAGGCACTTATTAAGAAACTATTTTCCAAACAAACTACAGAGCTATCAGTTACAGGTCAATTTTGAAAACTGATCCAAACCTCTCTACTCGTGTGTTCACTGGGCCTAAGCCAGTGCTATACATCCAAGAAAATAAAACTGGTGGAATCAAATGAAAAATTTTACTGGTCACTACTGGTTTTGAACCTGCAACCAGTGTTATACCCATCTTTTTTTGGTTACAATTATTTATTTTATTTTTTTAGAGATTTCTTCTATAGGGCAAATGCACGAGCTGGAAAGACAGAGACAGACATATAGAAAGTGAGAGGTCACCTCCCAGGGGTATGGCCAAGCTGCAATCCCTTTTTCATTCTCCTCTCAGGATCCTGGGCACGCACGCACATGTGCCCGGTGTGAGTTTAAGCAGCTGGGTCTGGGACTCAAACCGTGGTCAACATGTGGGAGTCCAGCAACATAACCATTATGTAATGCTGGACCCTAATTTTATTTTTTATTATTTTAAATTTACCAGAGAGAGAGAGAGAGAGAGAGAGAGAGAAAGAGAAATGAAAAGTGAGAAAGCAAGCCACCAGGTCCAGGACTCAAACTGCAGTCAGTCAATTGGGAGAGTCCAGTGCCTTAACTACCACACCACCTGCTGGGCCCTATACTCACAACTTTTAAAAAGTCAAAGAACTGGAAAATGTCATGAGAACTGTCTTCAACAATGTTCTCACTTCACAGATGAAAAAAACGTACACAAATGTAAGTAAATGATTGGCCCGAGGTAATTAATGAGTGGCAGAGTTAATATTAGCCTCAGCTTTCCTGGCTCATGAACGAACACCCCACTGTACTGCTGCTAGATATAATAGTGGGTGCCTGAAACATCTACGCTAGGTCAAGACTGTAGACAGAGAACCAACAGTTGGCGTAATGGTTATGTCTCTGGACTCCCATGTAGTCAACAGCGGTTCGAGTCCCAGACCTGGTGGCTTAAACTCACACCAGGCGCATGCGCTCCCAAGATCCCAAGAGGAGAAGGGATTTTGGTGTGGCCATCCCCCCAACCCTGGGGGGGGGTGTGTGTGATTTTTTTGCTTTCTGTCTCTCTGTCCCTGTCTTTCTGGTGAGCGCATGTGCCCTTTAGCAAAAACCTCTCCAAAAAAAGATTGTAGACAGTAGACAGGATCACAAGCCATGGTCACATGAAATTAACATCCACAATCTTTGTGCTAATTCAAAATGTCCTTTCCTCCAAACAACATTTTCTAGGTCTCAGCACTAATCATTCTATAGTGATCACCACACATCAGGATTTCTTTGGTGTAACTTTTTATTTTTTCTTTCCCAGAGGGCACATGTGCTCACCAGAGACAAACAAACGGAGATGGGAAAAAGCACCCCTAGTGATGCATGATCATATCAAATCCCTTCTCCATCCTATTAGACTTCTGAGCGTGCAGGAAGCACATGCACGCTGCATGGTTTTCAAGCTGGTAGGGCCAGGATTTTAAACCAAGTGTGGGATTCAGCTCCCTTAACCACAAAGCCCTTGGGGGCTGGCCTTTCTTGGTGTAACTTTAGAAGCATGAATAACTTATTTCTGCCTAAAGCATAAAGAACCTACTTGTATTTCCAAAGAGGTAAAACTCCTTTGAGTCCTACAGTTAATATGGGATTATGTCAATTTAACTATTTCCTAACATAATTAAGGCAAAATCATATGACTATCTCAAAAAAGATAAATGGGCTTTTTGATAATTATACCACTTTTCAATCTTAGTTATAAATTTGACATACATCTAATCTATAGTTAGTCTAAGAAGTGAACCTACAGAGCAAAGTATGGTTAGTATATTTCAGTAGTTCAGCCAAGTGGGGAATCTACTCTGCAAAGAGCCATTAACTATGTTTTAAGATAAAACAGTCTCTATTTTTGAAGGACTCACATTTTGTGGAGAAAGCAGACATAAATAATTTGAAAATGGGAGTCGGCAGGTGGCGTGGTTGTTAAGGGCACTGGACTTCCACATGGCCGACTGTGGTTTGAATCCCAGACCTGGTGGCTTGCTTTCTCACTTACCCCATCTCTTTCTCACTCTGTCCCTCTCTGGTCAAATTTAAATAAATAAAGTTAAATAAAATAATTCTTAAAATAAATAAATAAACTATTTCAAAATGCTGGCAAGCGTTAAGACAGGGGTATGTAAAACATAGTATAATTCTACAGTAACATGAGGAGACATTTTGACCAGCATGAGTCAGGGAAACAAACTATCTTAGAACATAGTTAGAGAATTACCTTAATGGCCTCTACTTGTTGACAGATCATTTTCAGTAAAGAATTTTGATCTTCTGCCCATCTGGGTGGTGTTTTGGGAGAATACTAAAAAATAAAAAACAACAAAGCAGTACTTCAAATATCTGGAGCTGGAACATTCCACAATGGAATGATCCCTTTCTATACTACGTACCTTATAACTTTTACTTGGCGACAGTGAATACTTGGTGGGAGATGGTGTAGAATGTTTTACCTCTGAATCTGTATTTCGCGAAGAGCCATTTTTATAAAGAGGACCTCCTTCACTATAGTCTTCAAGCTCCTGCATGACTGAACTAAGCATCTCTTTCACAGATTCCAGAGGCACAGGCAGCTGAAAACAACAGGCATTAATCGAGTGCATTAGTTGGCAAAAATACCAAAATAAGAGCTCTAGAATTAATCTTAATAATTTATATTTTCCTCATTTTTGTGAACAAGTACGCTTTAAGACTATACATGGGGCTAGCAGGTGGCATGGAGGATAAGGTAGCTTGACCCCAGAGCTGACTCTGAAGTTCACTTCTCAGACCCAGCGGCCTGAAAATCACTCTGGGCATGTGTGTATGCATGCCCAAAATGCTGAGAGGAGAATGGATGGCCACTCCCTCTGGGGGTGGGAGGGGTGATTTTTCACATCCATGCTCTCTCCAGCAATCATATACGCCCTATAGCAAAAATTAAAAAAAAAAAAAAAGCCACGCATGTGTGCATACATGTGCGTCCACATACGTGTCTAAATACTTCTGACTCTAAAATTCCATGTTGTTTCTATTCATTTTGCTGGCCGTTATAATGAAAGAATGTTAACTTGGCAAATTTTTCCAAGAGCATAAAATGTGCTATTTTCTCATTTTGAAAAGAGACAGATCCCAGAATGTAGGAGACATTAACTCCTAATTCAAGGGCAGTAACATGATTTTAACAAAACACTCAGGAGGAAAGATGCATACACTGAACACTGCCTCTGGAACCTGTGAAGAGATGCTTGGTTCAGTCATGCAGGAGCTTGAAGACTGTAGGTCTCAAACTGCTCAGCTAGAAAACATGACAGTTCACGGAAGATGACGAGAGTGAAAAAATGCTCTTAAGTTGTCAGCAGCAACCTTCAATTTCAGTAAAATATGAATACTCCCGAGGTTACAATATTTGTTTTCATTACAGTGCCAAGATAACAAAATTAATAAATGCTCTATTTTAAAACCCCTTAATTCCTATATCTACCTAGATTCCCAAGTATAAAAACAAAAAAGGGCACATGAAATATAAGATAAAACAAGGCAAATTAAGCATTTACACACATGCACACACCCCTTCTGCACATTAAAATAACAAGGTATTTGAGTATTTCTGAAATCACCAAAACATAAAACCAAGGAAAAAAAGAAAAAGAAAAATTTGATCGTCTCATTATTAAAAATGAAAAGAACAAGCAACAACCTGTAACTTACTTTCTTGACCACTGAAAGATCAGAATCACTGTCATCTGAAATCTTTATTAAGTAGTCCCTGGCCTTTCTCAGATAATTTTTGCATTCTTCTTGTTCTTCAGGTGAAAGGGCATCATTTTCAATGTCCTCGGCTTTCCTGTGAAAAATCTATACAAAGAGTGCTTTCATGAAACAATTAGGTTTTTAAAACAAAAAACCGTTTTCAAGTATACCTACTTACCAGTGCAAGATTCCAGTATGAAACAACGCTTTTTATAGATTCAAAAGCAGTCATAGCATCTTCTATATTTCCATTAACTGCATCCAATACAGCAAAGGTTATGTGTGCATCTTCTTCATATTCACCAATTTCAGATGCCTAAACATGTTTAGTAGTTTCAGTTAAATTGCTCTATTCAAAATATCAAACCCAAATGATTTTCCAAAGACTTTGTGTGATCTAATGAGACTAACAGCTCATTACTTTTCTCTGTCTTATTCTTTAACAGCTACTGGATTTATAAAGCAAGACTATCATTAAATAGCAAGCAATAATTTAAGCAGTTTATGCCTCCATTTCTCTGTTTATAAACTGGAAAGCCATATTGCCAGTTAATTCACAAAGAGATTCCCCATTACCTGAATGTCTGCACTATGAAAATGCTTAAATAAAGGATCAATAGGTTCAGGAATGCTGCTCTTCTTTTTGATTATCTTCAACAATGGCAAAACTTTCTTCCAATAATGAACACTTCTGCCTATGTATTCCCGTTGATCATAAAAAGAATTAAGACCACTCCCCTAAGATATAAAGTCAGAAACATACAATATTAAAAACATCACGATAAAGTGTAAAAATTCATTTATTGAGAATAAGAAAAACTGGTTAAAATTTCAAGTCAAAACCAAACAAAACTTTAAGTTATTTGCTCAACCTCTCAAATACTGGAATAAGTAATTATTACCTTAACACCAGTGATCATTCTTTTTTGGTTTTTATTGGAGAGGTTTTTGCTATAGGGCACGTGCGCTCACCAGATAGAGAGAGACAGAGAGACAGAAAGTGAGAAATCACCCCCCGGGGGGATGGCCACACAGCAATCCCTTCTCCATTCTCCTCTCGGGATCTTGGGCACACACGCACACGCACCCGGTGTGAGTTTAAGCCACCAGGTCCGGGACACGAACCGTAGTCAACTACATGGAGTCCAGCGACATACCAACACTAACTGGTGGTCCCAACCAGTGATCATTCTTGACTCAACTTTTTAACATTTTCATGATACTACTTATGGTACAGTCCAAACTATTTTGTAGAAGTTGCCATTTGTACATGGCCACAACCTGCTTCTCTTTAAGAGTCAATCTGGTCAAAGGGCAAACCATCGACACCTAATTCTGTCACAGAACATGCCTTGAATGTTTAGAAAGATCTATAATGCCCTTATATACAAAGCCTTGTGGTTCTTTTTTTTTTTTTTTGAGAGGTTTTTGCTATAGGCACGTGCACTCGCCAGAAAAATAGAGACAGAAAGCGAGAAATCACCCCCTGAGGGAATGGCCACGCCGCAATCTCTTCTCCTCCATTCTCCTCTCAGAATCTTGGGCACACACACACACATGCGCCTGGCATGAGTTTTAAGCCACCAGGTCCGGGATTCGAATCACAGTCGACTACATGGGAGTCCAGTGACACAGCTATTATGCTAACTGCTGGTCCCAAGCCTTGTGATTCTTAACATGCACAAAACTGTTCAGGACTGGACAATCATTTATAATTTAATTGTAATGTATTAATAACAGTTAATATTTAAGTGCTTATATTTAACTGTATTAATTGCTTTGAGGCAAAATTAAGAAATAATGTTTTACCTGACAGAATATGATTGGGTTGCTTCCAGAACTAAAACTAAGAAAGTCTCTAACTTTGTAAAAATTAATGTTCATGGGGTACCAGTAGATAGCATAAATGGCTACGTCACTGGACTCTCAAATACTCAACCTCGGTTCAAATCCCGGACCCGGTGGCTTAAACTCACGCCAGTCATGTGTGCATGCACACCCAAGATGGAGAGGAGAATGGAAGAGAAGGAATCATAGCATGGCCATCTCTCCTGGGAGGTGATTTCTTGCTTTCTGTCTCTCTGTCTCTGTCTTTCCAGTGAGTACATGCAACCTATAGCAAAAAAAAAAAATTAACGTTCTTTAAAAAAGGTTTCAGGTCTGGCAGGAGGCATGGTGGTTAAAGCGACTAGATTACCACATGGGCAACTGCAGTTCAAGTTCTGGACCTGGCTGCTTGCTTTCTCATTTCTCCACTCTCTGTCTCACTCACTCTATCCCTTTCTGGTCAAATTAAAATAAATAAAGTTAAATAAAATAATTATTTAAAACAAAAAAAGGTTTCACTTTAATGAACTCACCGTTTTCTGAAGGCACTTTGCCCAGTGCACAAGCAGAGCAGGTTGAAGGCCATGTTTTTCCTGGGCCCTAAGGGTGTTTATTTCATGCTGAACTAGAAGTCGCAATTTTGCTGAGGTTCCAGGTCTAAAAAAGTTTTGTTTAATAAAATTGATTTATGAACATATGGTGTTAAACTGTCACATGACAAATTAAATCTTCACGTTAGAGTTAAGCCAAACCCCTGGTAAAAATCCCAGCTCTAAGTTAAAGAAATATTTTTGTTTTACTACTTACATAGCTTTTCTGTGAATCAGATTACAAACTGCATCCCACCAAGTTTTCTGTCTTTCTGTACAAAGTTGTTTACATACAGGGAGTGGCAAGGATAGCAGCTGATAGGCGTTGCAATGAGAACTAAATTTCTCTTTTAATTGTAAGTGGCTGGTAAATATTACTCCAAGTAGAAATACCTATTTTATTTAAAGAAAGCTATTATGCTAACTGCTGGTCCCAAGCCTTGTGATTCTTAACATGCACAAAACTGTTCAGGACTGGACAATCATTTATAATTTAATTGTAATGTATTAATAACAGTTAATATTTAAGTGCTTATATTTAACTGTATTAATTGCTTTGAGGCAAAATTAAGAAATAATGTTTTACCTGACAGAATATGATTGGGTTGCTTCCAGAACTAAAACTAAGAAAGTCTCTAACTTTGTAAAAATTAATGTTCATGGGGTACCAGTAGATAGCATAAATGGCTACGTCACTGGACTCTCAAATACTCAACCTCGGTTCAAATCCCGGACCCGGTGGCTTAAACTCACGCCAGTCATGTGTGCATGCACACCCAAGATGGAGAGGAGAATGGAAGAGAAGGAATCATAGCATGGCCATCTCTCCTGGGAGGTGATTTCTTGCTTTCTGTCTCTCTGTCTCTGTCTTTCCAGTGAGTACATGCAACCCATAGCAAAAAAAAAAAAATTAACGTTCTTTAAAAAAGGTTTCAGGTCTGGCAGGAGGCATGGTGGTTAAAGCGACTAGATTACCACATGGGCAACTGCAGTTCAAGTTCTGGACCTGGCTGCTTGCTTTCTCATTTCTCCACTCTCTGTCTCACTCACTCTATCCCTTTCTGGTCAAATTAAAATAAATAAAGTTAAATAAAATAATTATTTAAAACAAAAAAAGGTTTCACTTTAATGAACTCACCGTTTTCTGAAGGCACTTTGCCCAGTGCACAAGCAGAGCAGGTTGAAGGCCATGTTTTTCCTGGGCCCTAAGGGTGTTTATTTCATGCTGAACTAGAAGTCGCAATTTTGCTGAGGTTCCAGGTCTAAAAAAGTTTTGTTTAATAAAATTGATTTATGAACATATGGTGTTAAACTGTCACATGACAAATTAAATCTTCACGTTAGAGTTAAGCCAAACCCCTGGTAAAAATCCCAGCTCTAAGTTAAAGAAATATTTTTGTTTTACTACTTACATAGCTTTTCTGTGGATCAGATTACAAACTGCATCCCACCAAGTTTTCTGTCTTTCTGTACAAAGTTGTTTACACACAGGGAGTGGCAAGGATAGCAGCTGATAGGCGTTGCAATGAGAACTAAATTTCTCTTTTAATTGTAAGTGGCTGGTAAATATTACTCCAAGTAGAAATACCTATTTTATTTAAAGAAATGTTAACATAAGTTAAAAAAAAAAAATAAACAAAATTCAAAATATTTAATCTGTTAAGATCTAGGCTTACCTCAAGATCTAAAATACATATTGATTCAGGTGCATTTGTTTCAAGCCTTGAAGTTTCCTGAGGCAAATGATGAAAAAGCTGTTTCAACCACTTTCGAACTGCAGGTAAGGTAGGCAATGAATTCCACTGTAGGCCAAGCCAGGTAAGGTGCTGAAGACTACCGTTATGTGCTCGAATGGCACCTGAAAAAGAAAAAAATGTGACTTGACATTTTGGAAATGTTTTCTGTGTACTAGTTTTGCTAAAATAAATAAATACCTCACATTATACAATTACTATTGATATATTAAAGGAGGGAAGTTCCATAATAGGCACAATCTCATGTTTACTAAATTCATTCATACTTTGTTATCAGAAATATCAATTAAAAACTGTGATGGTGAATTTTGTTTTTTGAAGTCTGTCTAGGAAAATGAAACTCACTGGAATTTAACCAAAAAAAAAAAAAAAAAAAAAATCTACTGATGAAGGCCAAATAAAGAATGCCCACCTAAGAGAAAATCTTGAAAATCTTATTATTTTTCTTTCATTAAAGTCACTACAACAGGGAACCAGCAGTAAGCATAATGGCTATGTGGCTGGACTCCCACGTAGTCGACCGCGGTTCACGTCCCGGACCCGGTGGACTAAAAATCACGCCGGGCGCGTGTGCGTGCGTGCCCAAGATCCCGAGAGGAGAATGGAAGAGAAGGGATTGCGGCGTGACCATCCCCCCTGGGGGGTGATTTCTCGCTTTCTGTCTCTATGTCTCTCTCTGTCTGTCTGGCAAGCACACACGCCCTA